AAAGTTTCCATCCGTCCACCTTCTTCTTGTCTGGATCACTCTCTATCCGTCTCTCATTTCCCTGACGCCGGCGGGTAATAAACATATCACGATTTGTATACATCTGTAAGTATGCACATGTTTGTGGGTAATTATATGAATGTAAATACTGTGATGCAGGAGAGGATTGGCAGCGGTACGAGATATTATGAAAGGCGAGTTAATTTTGACAGTTCCGAAGGAGGCTTTGATGACGAGTGAGAGTCTAAGAAGCAAAGATCAGAAACTCTCTGCTGCTTTATGTAAATACCCAAAACTCTCATCTTCTCAGGTACCTTTTCTTTTAGAAATTTCTATGCTCTCAATTTATTGGCTTTGATAAATTACTAAATGGGTTTTTGTAACGATTCTTTGTCATGGTTTTAAAAATTTTCTGTTTATTTTGTGGGATTGAAGCAAGGAGTTGAAAACTTAGAGCATTGACTAATTTTGGTGAATTTAGTGGATAATGAGAAAGGAAGCTCAAATTCTTAGTTTATGTTGATGTGTTTAACCTATCAGACAAAAAAGTTGCTGACTTGTTTGCTATTACTAGCCACAATTCTTAGTGTGTTCTATCAAATTCTTTATAAGTAGCATCACTTGTCTGTCACGGTCGAAACTTAAGCTTGGATCCTCACCGTAACTGCAGCTCAGAAAATGGAGACTTCCAACTAAAATCAGCTGAATTAGTAACCAATAAAACAAAAAATAGAATGGGAATGGGATAAATGAGAAAATTAAGAAGGAGACGAGGAAAGCTGGTGAACGATTTCAACAAATTCACTGAAAATATCAGATTACAGTCAAAATCACAGACCCTTCTTCCTTTGCAAATGGAGGTTAATATACGCCAGTGCAAGTCGTGCTTTGACAAAAGAAAAAAAAATGCAAAAAACGATTTTTTAACTATTACAATTTATTAATTCAAAACGACACGATTTTGCTTAAGTTTGAACGACACCGTTTTGAATTCCAAAGTCAAGTAATTCTGTTGCCTTCTTCTTCCTCTTTTCTTTTTGGTTTTGCTGGTTCTGCTCCTCTTTTTCCCCAGTTGCTTCTCACATAACAACCCTCCCCCTCACATTAATCTTGTCCCCAAGATCCACATGCTAGAAAGTGAGTTCTAACCCATTCAGCATCCTCCCAGGTTGCACTGTCTGGTGATGAGCTCGACCATGTAATGAGCCATTGTACTTTGTTCGATGTCTACACTTCACTAGCCCGAATTGTAAAATGGCTGGAGGATAATGACCTACCTGTAGCTATTGCTTTTCCTTTGGAAGTTGTAGCACTGACATCGCGTTGTCTCGAAGTTTTTTTTTCCTTCAATAGCGAAACATGGAAAATTGGGTGAATATTAGAACCTTCAGGTAGTGCTAATAGGCAGGCGACTGTCCCTATCTTCTTAAGGATTTGATATGGACCAAAGTATCTAGCACTGACTTTTTGGTTTTGCTATGCTCCACTGAATGTCGAGTACAAGGATGTAGCTTGAGAAAAACCCAATCCCCATCTTCAAGGGACCTCACTGCCCTGTTTTTGTCTGCGTAATTTTTCATCCTAATTCCTAGCCATCGCCCGACATAGGTTCTCCTTTAGCTGTTTAATTTGTATCTCCGCATCTCCACCACTAGCCTCTCTATTTCTGTTTTCTGAATAAAAGGGCATCTATAAGGCCTTGTTCCAAATGGTTGTTCTCCATCTTCCAATGGGGTATGGTGGTCATGTGACCTAGGAGGTGGCAACCCTATTGGTTCTTCAAATACCTCTATATATTGGCTAATAACCTCGGTGATTTGGCATGGAATTTTTTCTTTCCCTTTCTCCACAATATTGTATAAATGCCCAGCCACTCCATAATTGTACCTTCTAAACAAATTCTCCATTTCCTCTACTTCCATCATTTTAACGTGTAGTTCTGAACCTTCATTCCTCAAGATGATCTCTTCCTGTTGGTGTTTGAACTTCACATATCCTTGGATATATTCAAATTTTGTGAGGCCAAATTGACTCATCCAGTTCACCTCCAATACCATGTGACTACCTCCTAGCTTCAAAGTTCTCAATTTATACTGGAACTCCCAGTCATGCACCTTCCAAACCAGTAGTTGATTCAAAGCCTTACTCTCTAGCTTTTCACCATTGGCCACTCTCATTGTTATGATTTTGGTTTCCTCGGTAGTGTACTTCAGCTCCTTAGCCAGTCTCTCATTTATGAAGCTATGTGTGCTTCCACTATCTATTAAAATAGATATCCTCCACCCCTTTAAAATTCCAGGAATTCTAATAGTTTTATGCCCTGGATTTCCTACCAAAGCATTGATAGAAATCTCCATAACTTCCTTTTCATTTGATTCAGATTCCCTTTCCTCCTTTGATTCAGTATTCTTACCAAACGTCTTACACAACTCTTCAGAGAAGATTCTCCAATCTGCATTAGGGTGTCTCGCTAGGAAACCATCGAACCAAATGTCCGCTTTACCTTTCAAATACATTTCAGCAATACCCAATCTCAACTCATGTGGGATCTGATGAAGTTGAAAATACTCCCTAGCTTTTCTAAGCCATTCCTTAGGTTCTTGTCCCCCAAAGTGCGGAAAATCAATCTTAGACAACCTATTATTCCCCTTCAAATCCCCTCTAGTATGAGTACTACTTTCAGTGTTACTAGCTCCTGAGATAGGTATTACACCTTTAGATCTCACCTTAACCATAGTTTCTTCGACTCCTTTGTTTTTCTACCCCATTTTTATATTTGAAGACACATGGGTCAACATGGCCACTAAATTTTCATATTTATGATTCATATCTAACAACGTAGCTTCAATTTTTTCCCGTCTATGCCCAATTACCTGGAGAGTTTGATCAGTGGAAGCCAACTTGTTAGCCTGTTGGTAACAGCTTTAAAGGAATTACCCAGAAGAGTAATCTCCAGATCCAATTTCTTCAAGTGTTCATCAACCGCCTTCGACCTTGTATCCATGATTATCGATTGCCCAGTATATTATGCCTGCTCTGATACCATTTGTCACGGTCGGAACTTCAGCTTGGATCCTCGCCGTAACTGCAGCTCAGAAAATGGAGACTTCCAACTAAAATCAGCTGAATTAGTAACCAATAAAACAAAAAATAGAATGAGAAATGGATAAATGAGAAAATTAAGAAGAAGGGGATGAGGAAAGCTGTTGAACGATTTCAACAAATTCATTGAAAATATCAGATTACGGGCAAAATCACATACCCTTCTTCCTTTGCAAATGGAGGTTAATATACGCCAGTGCAAGTCGTGCATTGACAAAAGAAAAAAAATGCAAAAAACGATTTTTTAACTATTACAATTTATTAATTCAAATCGACACCATTTTGCTTAAGTTTGAACGACACCGCTTTGAATTCTAAATTCAGGTAATTCTGTTGCCTTCTTCTTCCTCTTTTCTTTCTGGTTTTGCTGGTTCTGCTCCTCTTTTTCCCCATTTGCTTCTCACGTCCCGGGCAGACCATCAGTCTTCTTGCCGATTCCGTTAAATGTGTTCACACATTCATGAGCAAGGGAGATGGTATTGAACTTGTTCATCTCATCCCTTAAGTCAGTTAAGTTGATCATAGATTGGCACAACCAAATTGAAAAGATTTTATTACTGCTGTTTGGCAAGAGTATATTATGCAGGTAAGATTTTCAAATGGTGCAGGTATTGGCTGTTTCACTGCTGAACGAAGTGAACAAGGGGAAGGTTACTAGGTGGTACCCTTACCTAAAGCAATTGCCTAGAAGTTATGACATACTTTCGAGTTTTGGTCGATTGGAGATAGAAGCTTTACAGGCTAGTTTCTGGCTTTATTCGAAGATTTGGTTGTTGAATGTGGTAGAATTAATTATTTTTAAACTGTTCATTATGAATCATATGAGAAAGATATGACGTGATTGTGATGTAAATTGATTATAGATGGATGATGCGATCTGGACTGCTGAAAGAGCAGTTGAGAAGGATAAAATGGACTGGAGAGAAGCTACTGCACTTATGGGTGAACTTAATCTCAAGCATCAACTCTCGACTTTTAAGGCATGGCTCTGGGCTTCTGCAACTGTAAGTTCATGGGCCATTTGCATCTTAAAAGTTTTTCGTCCTTGTTCCGAAAATGAGGTTTTAAGCACGCGTATTCAGATTTTTGAAATATTTATCTTTCTTCATTCAATATTTTCATTCTTTATATACTATACAAAATCAATGATTATGAGATGCCATTTTGACAATACTGTTCTTGGCTTTGGTCTCAGTTTCCCGCATTGCTTGTTATCTAATTATTTGGTAGAAATTTGCCTCTGAAATTTTATATTGCATTGTGTGCAAAGATATCCTCACGCACAATGCACATACCATGGGATAGTGCAGGGTGTTTATGCCCTGTGGGAGACTTGTTTAATTACGCTGCGCCTGCAGAAGAACCATATCATTCAGAAAATAAAGCATGTCAAAATGTGTCTCCCCTGCATGATACCTCCCCTGGGAAAGTGCAAAATTCAGGGAACTCAGTAGAAGAGCCGTTTGATGCCCATGTACAGAGATTAATAGATGCTGGCTACGAGGAAGAAATTGCTGCTTATTGCTTCTATGCTAGAAGAAACTACAGAAAAGGGGATCAGGTATTGCTCATAATGCTTCTGTCTTTTCTTTTCATCAACTGTGTTTATGGAAAGTGTTGTCCTGTCAATAGAAGATATGAAATTCTTTTTTGCTTCAAGTTTAATTCATGTCTGTTGAGCAAATTCTAAATCAATTTGGGTGCTAATTAATATATTACTTCTCTAAATGTTAAAAAAGTTCGTTATTTGCACGATTGATTCAATTTGAGGCTGATTGTTCTACAAGCATTAATTGTGTTGTTTACCTTCTTTAGTTTTTACACCCCAAGGCTTTTTTGAGTCACTCACTTGATGAACAATAATGTTGACATTGTTTGGTCTGTTGTGTTTTCATGCATAAGATCACAGGAAAGATGACGCCTACTATGGTTATATTTTGTCCTCAGTGATTAATCCCTAATTTATAAAGATGCAAGTGATGTGGCCTCTGGTTCTCTAAAAGTGATGGAGCCACATTATCAACCTTCTGCATTGTCCTAACAATGACTGAAACATTAGTTTTTAAGTGTTCAAATTGAAATATGAGGAAACTCATTTCATCTCCCATTATGGCTTCGTACTAGCGTGGATGCTATATGAAAGTTGAGGTATACTGATGGCTTTAACTCATTTTTCCAGCATGGATTCTGCCAGAAAAAAAGAATGAAAGTGATCTGCTTTTCAGGGGAAACAAAGTTTTTTATGGAAGAACTCTGAAAATATGTCGTATAGGTTCCTGAGATTAGCAATTGGCATAATATGATGAGAACTTAGATTCCTAGATTTCTATGCCAAAATCCTGCTTTTGAGGATTATAGCTCCTATTTGAAGACCTTTGAAACTACCAAACAGTGATAATTAATCTGATTGTTTCCCTGGGCATGAATAGGCACAATGTGAAGTAAATTTATGATCACGGTACATGCCTCAAGAAGGGTGTAACAATATGAGCTCCAAAATATCGGAGTAGGGTTAAAATTGAAAGCTCAGTTTCTGCAATCTAGTGAAAGGAAGCTAACAACAAGAAACTCAAACAATTTGAATCGTATTCAACAAGGTAACCTCAATCTCAGTTTTTATATATAAATGATATGAGAACATCAGTTCAAGATATTTGAGCTTAAAGATATGAAAGTTTTGAAGTATGCTTTCTTCTGTTCTTAGCTCGTCTAATGTCTTTGAATTTGGAATAAGATATGTAAAAATATAACGGTCGAGATAAAGAGTGGTAGGCACCATAAAGGATGGTATGCAATAATTGATATAGCAAAAAAAATGAAAACAAGAACTATTTAAAGATGGGAGGATAACATTAGTAAGTTCAAAATTATAATCTTGATCAACTCATCTCTGGTCCTTTAACTGAGTTTTGAGTGTTAAGAGCTGTCTCAGAAGTTTGTGTATCACTGTGAAATTTACAAAGGGTACCATATTTCATAGAAGCCTACTTCTAGACATCTGTAACATATTTTGATGCCTGAAACTGAATTATTAGAGTTTGTTAATTTGTTTTGCATGTTTGAAACCATATTGTTGACTATGAAACTCACAAACACATGCACGACCTTCATAGATAGGGTTTATAAATGATTCGTGTCAATTGTGGACTAAGGCACAATCAACTATGCAGACTGAATAGAATGGCTAGTATCCATATAAATGATGTATACTTTGCAAGTTGTTATTTTCTTTTCACACTTGATATTTTTGAGCAATGTTTTGTTCATTATAGTATATGACGTGGGAATTGTGGCATATGTTCCTTCTCATGCGTGCTTATTTTAATTATAGAAATCTGTGGCTGTGGACTGATGTCAATACGCAATTCTTTTCTTGTTCTGCAGGTTCTTCTAAGCTATGGTACGTACACAAATTTGGAGCTTCTTGAACACTATGGGTTTCTTCTGCATGAAAACCCGAATGACAAAGCTTTTGTTCCTTTAGAACCCGACATGTACTCCCTTTGTTCGTGGCCGAAAGATTCACTATACATTCACCAAGACGGGAAGCCATCTTTTGCCTTACTAGCCACAGTCCGGTTGTGGGCAACCCCTGTAACTCACCGGAGGTCAGTTGGACACATTTCGCATTCAGGCCATCAGATTTCAGGAGAAAATGAGGTCACTGTATTGGAGTGGATAGTAAAGAACTGTCGAGCACTGCTCGGGAATTGTTCGACCTCAATCGAAGAAGATGAGTTGTTGCTCAACACCGTTGACAAAATTCAAGACCATGATACATCGATAGATTTCGGGGACGTTTCCCGTGCATGTATTATCGAGCTTAGTGCTTTCTTAGAGATGAATGATAGAAAACAATGTAGCCAAGTACAGATGTGTAGAAAGACGAGGTCAATTCATAGATGGAAGTTAGCAGTTGAGTGGAGATTAAGTTACAAGAGAATTCTATGTGAATGTATATCTCACTGTAATGAGAGATTAGAGTATCTAAATCTCAATGAGTTAGACCAAAGGAATTCTGATTCTATTTAAACATGTTAATTTTGCATTTGCATATTGATTATTTATGTTCATAGAAACAGTAATTTCATGCTTCATAAAAAGAATTGTATTACATTAAAAATACTAATGAAGAAAAATAAGTTAAAATTTTATTCGTTATACTATTTATCTTGTATGGTGAAGCTATAGGTTTTAATTCTATTTATGCATTTATTTTTGGGAGGTCTCCAAAATTATAATTTTTATACATTTACTTATAACTAAAAAGTGGAAATAAATTTGTTGTTGCCTTCAATTTCTTACCTATCAAATATCGATACATAGTCATGAGAAAATTGTATAATCGACCCAGTTGAAATTTAAATATAAGAAGTTTTCAAGAAAATTAACTTCCAAGAGACGAGGACAAGTAAATTTTACATGTTCAAAGGAAACTGTCTTTGGTTTGTAGTATTGAACAAAAATTGCACAATTTAATAAGATTTTAATAGGTTTGACCTGAGACTTTTCAGATTTGATTTGAGCCCTGCCCTCATTCAAAATTTTCTTCTTCATAAGGATTTTCCGAAAAATAGAAAAATAAATGAAAATTATGTATGAAAACAAAATATTGGTACACTTAGCAAACAAATATTCACGAGGTGCAAAGTCGTCGTCTTCAAATATGTTGTACGACATTCTTCGTAATATAGTCATGCAATTAACCAATTTTTGATTTGTGCGTAAAAATAAGAAAGAGCTATTCTTTTAAATCTTGAAATTGAAAATGGTTTTAAGCATGGTGTTTTGCCATCTTTTTAAAAACAAGCTTTTATATCTCGTTCGAGGAAATTAAATCCACCAGACTGTCTTAAACTGATTAAATATGTAAATTGAACTAAATGTTGGGGGATTGAAAAGTACATTCTAGAGGTTAGGGGATAAATTTGTTAGGAGGGCTAAAGGTGAGGATTAATTCTGCAGATTTCCCAAAAAATAAAGGAAAACAACAAAATAACTGTTTATTGACTTGAACCTTAGTGCTGAAATACCCAAAAAAAAAAAAACCTTAACACACTAAGCATCAGTAATTTATGTACATCAAATTTTATCAGTTTTCTAAATTTCAAAAAATAAAAATTGGGCCCCAAAATTATGGACAGAGGCAGCGGCCTCTTGGTAATGGGTAAAATCTTGAGGAAACTAGTTGGAAAATTACAAAAAATCAGGTATTTTAAAGATTGCTTTTTAAAAATCAGATGCAAAATTTATTTATTCAAAAATTGGGTAATATATTAAAACCCAGCCCTAATTCCAAACAAAACCTAAATCATTTTTCTTCTATTCCTCCTCCTCTTCGATTCTCAATTCTCGTCTCTCTCTATACCCTCTTCCTTGCCGCCGCCGTTGCCATTGAGGAGCGCCCACTACTGGAGGGTCGAGCAGCGGCGTCCCCGTTATTGTCCAATCTCGCGCAGATCTCCCTCACCATCGCGAGACAACCCAGTTTTGCGCGCAGATCTCTCTAATTTCTTGAAAGAACTGTGTGAGTGGAAATGGCAGATTAATATATGATGGCCGATCTAAGGCAGTGCGTCAACGACAGAGCCTTGTTCCCACTCTAGTTTCATACTGGCGCCGTAATTTGTGGTGGTGTGTGTGCGCTTTGTTGTTGCTCGAAGATATTTAGAGCGACGGGGTGGTTTTCATGCTGATGTGGTTTTCAGCAGTGGCGGAGTGGAAGTGGTTGTGGCGGTGGCAGAGGTGTGGGCTGTGGGCGCATTTATGTTGGAGATGTTTGACATTTGTGACCTATAAAATAGGTAATATGCAAGTGATTGATGGTGGAGATGGTTGTCAATGGCTTTATTGGTGCTGTTATGGTGGCGGCGGCGTGGTGAGGGTGGTCGAAAGTAACCAAATGTTTGGTAATTTGTGCAATTACTCAATTGTGACCTAAAAATTTAATATTATGTACCTCAAAAATAATGTGGCCAACTAATTTAAAAATCTGTGATCTCGAAATAATATGTGACGTACAAAATTTTTGATCTGTGATATCGAAATAATCTGTGATCAATTAATTTTAAAATATGTGACATGTGACCTATAATTATATATATGTGACCATTAATTATATAATTGTGATTTTATTATATTTTATTAATAAATATTTTTAATTAATTAACTAAAACCTGATTTTTGCATTAGTCAAACTTAAAACCTAATTTTTGAATTGTGTATAGTTAATCCCTAACTTTTGAACTCTTCTCCAAAATAGTTTGGGTCGTGAACCCAATTCTTTGGACTCGTGAAAATTTGAGGGTGGACACGCTCCATTGGGCCGTGACTTAGCTTAAAGATTTAATTGCACAAAGTGGAAATTACACGACAATAGGGGTTTTAAAATGTGGTAATTACATAAATCCAGGTGTTTAAAGATTGATTTTTAAAAATCAGGTCTAAACTTTATTTATTAAAAAATCAGGTATTATATTAAAACCCTAATTGATAACCTAATTTCTCTCTCTACTCCATTCCCCTATCTCTCGCACCTCCCCTCATCTTCCCCATTCTTTTCCTCTCTCGCGCTCGTCATCGAAGAAGACCATCCATTGTCGAAGACCACCTCCCAGAGCACCCACGCCGCCGCACTTTTCCCTTCGCGGTATTGGTGGTAGCAGGCAGCCGTTTTATCTCTGGTTTGATTTGGTTGTGTTTGTAGTTGTTGGTGATGGATGTGGTGGTGTTGATGTTGGCGGTGCTTGCTAGGTGGTGTTGGTCTTGGTCTTGGTGGCCGCAGGTTGCGATTTTGTGTGGTGTATGTGGTGGTAGCGGTGTTGTGGTGGCGATGGCAGTGGGCCTAATGTGGTGGTTGTGATTTTTGTTGGCAGGGATGGAGGCGACGGCGACGATGGGATGGGATGAAGAGCGTCTGTGACCAACTATTTGGTCGATTTGTGACCAAATATTGGTGGTGGATCAAGATCGGGGAATGGGAGTTTGGGTGCATATGACCAATTATTTGGTTCGCCTTCGTTCTGTTGCCCTCATTTCTCTCTCCAAAATGTTTTAACTTCTTTGTTGTCAGTGGTGGTGATTTTGTGAGGGTGGTTGGTAGTGGTGTTGGATTTAGTGGTGGCGGCTTTGTTGGTGGTACTGTTGTGGTGCGGTGGTGGCAGATCTGGCAGGGTATGTTGGATCTGATGGTGATGGAGGCGATTGTTGGCTTGGGCACAGTGTTGTGTGCTATCAAGGTGTTGGATCATGATTGGAGGTGAAAGTGGGGTGTTGGTTAATTTGTGATCAACCATTTTGTTATCTGTGATCTAAAAATTATATAATTTTTGATCGTAAAAGAATATGTGATCAACTAATTTGAAAATCTGTGACTGTGTGACTTATAAATTTTGAAACTGTGATCGACGAATTAATTGTAACCTGTAAATTTTTTTATATGTGACCATTAAAAAATCTGTGACCAACTAATTTAGAAATCTGTGACCTGCAAATAAACTGTGATCGAAAATTATTTTTTAACTAATTAATTAGATATTTATGACCAAATTGCATATAATTGTGACCTTAACAATTGTCGGAATCGGAGCAATCGCTTGAATTAAGCTACGACATAACAGTCACTGAAATAGTCATCGGAATTAAGCGCAGTCCGAGAACAGTCTCCGGAGTAGTCGTCACCGGATAGTCGCTGTAGCAGTAGGGGTGGTGGAGGTGTGGTGGGTTAATTATATTATGTTACAATTAAATATTTAATTAATTAATTAATAAAAATCTGATTTTTGCAAGTTTGAAACTTAACACCTGCTTTTTACAATTGTCAAAGTTAATACTTGATTTGTGAACTCTTTCCTTTAAAAATTACCATTTATAAATCAGCTATGAAGTTTATTTGTTTACATATCAGGTATTAATCTAATAATTAAATATTAAATATCTCAACCTATTTCAATTCCAAACTCTAAAAATTATTTCATTCTATTCTCACTCTCACTATTCATCTTCTATCTTCTCACTCTCTCCACCTATACACCCTCTTAATTCGACGACACACCCACTCTTGGAGACCGTCGTCACACACGCGATGGCGACGCACCTACTGTCGCACACACACTTTCTCTTCTCACTCTCTCACTCCGAAGCATCGCGCCAAATTACAGCGACGACCACCCACCGTCAAAGATCGTCGTCGCACACATTTTCTCTTCTCACTCTCTCTCATTACCAGAGCATCGTGTTGAGCACCACCTCACAAAGGCGTTCCACCCATTGCTGAAGATGGCGGTATTGTGAGTGACCCTGCTAGAGATGTCAATGGGCCGAGTCGAGCCGACTCTGCCCTTAAACCCACGAGCTCTGCTCGGCTCGTGGAGAAACGAGCCACGAGCCGAGCCGAGCCAACTCGTGGCTCATTTGCTTGTGGCTCGTCAATTTTATTTTTTTATTTTGTGCTTTTCTTAGCTTTTTTTTTCAGTGTTTTTTTCACGGGCTGCTCGTGAAAAAATGAGTCGAGCCGGGCTCGGCTCATGCTCAGGCTCTTTTTTTATGAGCCCGAGCGGCTCTTGGCTGCCCCGCGATGTCGCTGCAATGACATTGTGCAACTGCGACAAGTCACAGATTTTTTTTGTTGATTTTTTTGGTTGTTTTGGTCGTTGGTGATTTGATTGGTTGTTGGGTTGTTAGTGGTTGTGGATATGGTGCGATAGGGGTGGTTGTGGTGGTTTTTGTTGGTAGTGGATTGGATCTAGTGGTGGTGGTGTTATGTTGTTGTTGTGGTAGTGTTGGCCATGGTGGGGTGAGGGTGGTCACAAGCGGTAGCGGCGGTGGTATTTGACCCATTATTTGGTGTAAGTGACAAACTATTTAACTGAGACATAAAAATTCGATAATTTATGACCAATTAATTTGAAAATTTGTGATTGACAAATAAATTGTGGCTTATAAATTTTTTGATTTGTGGTCGATGAAATAATTTGTGACCAATTAATTTGATAATATGTAATGTTGTGACCTATAAGTACGCACATGTGACC